AGCGTGTTCTCCAATATTTTATTAATTTGGTCGATAAAATACCAGAAAATGGTCCACAAAGTTGGTCAGTGTTTAATTAAATGTCTTTTCTCGCCCAAAACCCAAAAATATTCTGTCATAAAGGAGGAAAGAAACCAGAAAACATTCACGTTTCAGAAGCTGGAATCAGAGAATTTAGACTTTTTTTTTTTTTACGAGTAATCGCTTGTCTAAAGAGCTGAATCTCTGAATATTCGGAGATCTGAATTGCTATCCCGATACCAGCACAGCGACCGAATATTCGGATATTCGGCTATTCGGGTCCAGCCCTAGTGTAGAAATGTAATCATGCATTAGTGTCCTAAAAATGACACTCAGTTCTCAGTTCCTTCACTGCTGTTTTTTCAAATTTAGAATATCTTCAGGATTCTGGGTCTTTTATGAGAAGCCAAGCAGCCCAGTTTAACATCATGAAGTTGCATATCCTACATGTCGTAGTTACGCGTTTTCAGCTTTTCGCGTGTTGTTTTACAGTATTAACACAACACGCAAAATAGTCAGGGTAGAAGTCAGCAGGAACGGGTCATAAAACACCAAAAATGTCCCAAGCAGTGCATTCTGAAAACACACGAGGTGACTCAGCCTTTTCATGACATCAGGCTGGTTTACCAGGTTATAGACGAGCATACATAGAACAGTATGAGAACATAAAGGTTAGACGTGTGGTACAGTGTCATTAAATCGCAAAAACATGTGTCACGAGTCGTCGGTGGTGCTGATCGTACAGAACTGATGGGAGTCAGTCGCAGCTTTTAAAGTGATGTGGAGACTTAAATTCCGAAATTTGCAGTCAATAATAGAAATTCAGATTCTGACGATGCCAGATTCTAGATGATCTCCCCACGAGATGCTTGTAAAAACAGTACAGCTGCTTCATATTTTTCCATGATATAAAGACTTTTTTTTTTTTAAATATCTGAAAGTATTATCATGTCAATAATGGAAAATATGAAAAACATAACCAAACAAACTAGACACAGCCTCCATGCTTAGGCCTTAAAATGACCAAGAAAACGGCTTAAAAGTAAACTTAGCGGTTGTGATAGAAATCGTGAACTTTATGTTTATCGTGAACGTCGTAACCTTTAGCTCAGTAAAGGTTGACATTTGACAGGTCAGGGAGATTTATTTCAAACCAACCGTCTGAATAAACGTGCAGGTAAAATTAAGTCTTCTGTTACCCGTCAAATGGATCAGATGGAGTCACACCTGGAGCTGAGTTGGATCAGGTCAAGAGTTCTTTATTGTTAATATTCAGCGTGTTTTGTTTGTGCACTTTACAGCAAATTAACAGATGGATCGATTTCCCCCAGAACAAAACTGAATCCCTACATTTCCTGCATTCACCACTGAATAAAAAGTCATGTTTACTTCATTCAGTATCATGCAATAAAGTTAATTTATCTAAGTTAAGCTGGCAAGTATCATCTGTTTCCTCTCAGACGAACGATGCTGCAGCTTCATTTTAAGGACAATCAACTTGAAGTTTACAGTTTTTCCAACTCAAGTGTTCACTTTTCCCCAAACATGAAATACAAGACGGGATTTCTGTCATTAGATTCACCATTATTTCCTTTTCTTTGCTCTGTAATCATAATGGAAGGAAAACATCTGTGTATATTACCTTACCTCCACCTTGAAGTCTAAACAGGACATAAACATTTTCAGTAATCACTTATATCTGATCCTTACTGCCTGATTCGATCTTACTTTTATTATCTGAGCCTCAGGAGACTAAAATAAAACCTGTTCAACAGCATCATACTGACAGCAGCTGTTCTGCACATATTCAAGGATTATATTAATTGTCTCCATGCTGACATACACATGTTAGAGAATCACTTGTTTGTGACATGTTGATAATCATTATTATTATTATTATTATTATAGTGAAGATCATTGTGTGTATGCTTCTGTTAGAAAGGCTAAACCTTGAATTCAGCCTCTTTCCTCTTCTAACATTGCTGTATGTCTGTCTTAATACAGGCTTGTTTGTGTTTTTATTAATCAAAATGGTACGTCACGGCGAATTTGGCAGCAAATATAAAATAATAACTGGAATTAAATAAATGCCAGACTATGAAATCCTACCTTATTGGTTACTTATGACATCATGTGCAGCCTAAGGTGTGCTGTTCACCTACAGTAGGCCCTGAATACACAGTGATATGATCCATTTAAATAATGTTAAAGCCTGCAGGTTTGTTAGTATCTTTAAAAAACAACAAGCAGTTCCACTTGTGAATGTTATCTGGACATTTTTAGAGGAGGAGATTTATTTTGTAATGTCATTAAAGCAGCTTGTTTTTACCTCTGGTTAATTTTAAATAAATGAACAAACGTGTGTTCTGACGCTCCTCCTGTTGCATTTCTATCAGCAGTGAAGCAGGAGCTCGGTGCTGCAGTTTGTCTCCGCTGTGCAGCAGCATCGAGCCTCTGCAGCCTCCAGTCGGTCGGTCGGTCGGTCGGTCGCAGCTCCTCTCCGGCCGGCGGGGACACCCACAGGTCCCTGACCGCGACGAGGAGCCGCCGCTGAGGGAAAACCCTGCCGGCCGGCCGGCCAGCGACTAAACGTGCAGCCAAGTAGAGGTTCTTCTTCTTCTTCTTCTTCTTCTTCTTTTTATTGTTTAACATCCTCAGATGCGATGAGAGGATTAATGAAGCGCGTCTGCCTGGCCCATATGTCCTCTTTAGTGCCGCTTGTGCTTAATTAAAACCGAATGGACCCTCGGCTGGTGTCTGTGTTGCAGCAGCGCTGACTTACTGCTCTTTGCTGACATTTATTAGAAAACCTGTTGAAGCCTTGGATGTGGGAGGATTGTGGCACATTTGACTTGAAAGATGCAGTTTATTCAAGAGCAGCTTTAATTTTTTTTTTCATCCCTGGAATGAAAAAAGGAGCTCTAATCTTTATGGACAAGCAGATTTGACTTTTTATTAGGATGGAAGTAAAGTGTTTTTTTTCTCTCCATAAATTTTAGTGCTCAGATTATGAATTGGGTCTGAATCCGTTCTCCAGCTGCTCTGTTGTGTTTATTTATTCATTATTTGTCTAATTAATCTTTATTTAGGATTTAACTTCAAACCTTTTGTCGTGATTGCAAGTTTAACTGATTAAAACAAGCGTTAATCAGTGTTACTGATTAAAAAATAACAAGAAATAGGCTTATACTGCTCCCATAAAACTTATTGCACCGTAATTGTGTCATTTTGTGCTAATTTGAGGTCAAATAGACGCTGCAAAGCCAAAAAGTCACAGCAGACTTCTAAGAAGCCTCTCTGACATCTCCTGTCACATCCTAATTAGCAGCAACAGCAGCTTTCTTCTGTTTTAGTGCATGCACCAGTTCCTCCTCAGACTCTTTCTGCAGGTTTATGTCCACTTTGCTCAATTCCTGCAGCAGATAAATGGATTTTTGCTGAAGATTACTCAATTAGAGTGAATCCTTCATCATGCTGGGCCGAAAATAAATAAGAATTTGAGGCTGGTTTTGAAATTGTAATACTTATTTCTATTTAATTTAAATTTAATTTTGCCCTGAAACTAAAATATCAATTATTATCGTGCAGTTAAAATACCTGATTTTTTTTTTGTTGTTGTTAAGAATAATCCTCTGTTTGATTTGATTTGTTTCCCATAGCAACTTCACATTAAGACTTCGTGCTGAAGGTTCATTTCTCTGCGTGCTTGCCGCATTATTTTGCCTTTAAACTCGTGTTTGCTCCTGCACTGTTGAGCAGCAGCAGCAGCAGCAGAGCTTATTTCACATTTCTCCGTGTGAACTGGCCAGCGGTGCGCCCAGAACCAAAGCCGTCAATAAAAATGTTGGATTATCCGCTTTATGAGACGGGATTAACATAGCTCTCTCTCATAATTCACATTCCTCCCAGCTTGGGCAGTTGTGACAGAAATCGTGGACTTTGTGTGTGTGTGTGTAGTAAAATGGGGGGAAAAACATAATGACAGTTTGGTGCGTAAAAAGGATGACAAAGAAGATTTACGTTTAAAAAAAAAAAATCCAAACAAACATGCAGGTAAAGTGTTTTTTTTTCCTCCTGGGGTTTTGTTAATCTGTTGTGGTGTGTTGCAAACACAGAAAATGGATCAGATGGATTGACACATGCAGCCGAGTTGGATCAGGTCAAGTGGATCTTTATTGTTATTTAGTGTGTTTGTGTCGCTCTCATCGCACTTCACAGCTCAAATGCGCCGTCTTTGCTGCTGGCCTGACTCACTCCTGCGCTCCCCGTTTCATCCAACTAATACGTCCTTATAATAATTTATCATTTAACACTCGAGACATGGAAATAAAACTATCAAATTCACAGCTGGCTTGTTTGCGCACGAATTGCGCAAAAGCGAAAAAATTGCATACAGGTAGTACAAAGAATCACAACTTTAAAAATAAAAAAACTAACACATAGAGGGGGGAGGAAATAATAATAATAATTCAAAAAACACATAAGGGACATTTATTCTCGCACTCAAACAGACTGATTGTCGCATAACTAATATTTTCTCATAAATTAAATAGTGCATCCATGTCAGAGCTGCTCTCTCTCTCTCTCACACACATACAGAACACACTCATGCGTAACGCTTTGATCAAAGGGGCCCTTCAGTGTGCCAACAAAATAAAAAAAGAAAAAGAAGACAAGAGGGGAGTCTTTAAGGAGCTTAGAAGAAACCCTGACCTATCCCTCAAAGTTAACCAAGTTAGGCTTGGATCTTTCGCTCTCTTGATCCTTTTTTTCTCTCTCCTTTTGGTCAGCAAATTTGTTCCGTGCTCTTGATCAAAGTTGGGGAGAAGTCAGTCCCAGTGTTCAATAAGTTAACCCAACAAGTGAGACAACCGCCTGCCCGAGGTAGAAGTTTTGGGCCTCGTGGGGGGAAAAAAAACGCCACACTTTGGGCTTTAATAGTCTAAAATGTTGTCCCTTTTTATTTTTTTTTTCTCTCCTCACAACACTTGAAATTTCCACGCTGCCTGGTCTTTGTAATCCAAACAGTCCGCGTTGAAATTGAGCTTCCACGAAGAGGCCGTTTGGTCCTTATAGTCCAGGCAGTCTGCGGCGCCGCTGAAGCCCAGTCCCGCCGCTCCGTACGCCGACGAGGAGAGGGAGGAGGCCGGGCTCAGGTGGCTGGAGACCCCGTTGCTGCCCATGGGGCTCATGGCGGAGCCCGCGGCGGATAGCTGGTGGTGCATAGGCGAAAGGTAAGAGCCGCAGTCCATGCCCGTGAAGTAGGACGAGGAGCCCGTGTAGCCCTGGTTGTAGCCGGTCGCCTGGGTGTAGGTCATCGGGTAGGAGCGCTGCATGCAGGAGGAGGAGGAGGTAGACAGCGGGTCGGCCAGCGGGGAGATGGAGGCCGGGCTCCAGATGGACACGGGAGCCGCGCTGCTGCCGCCGCTGCTGCTGTTGCTGCTGCTGCTGCTCACAGGCGGGATGGTGGTGCTGGAGGGCGGCGTGAACTGGCCGCTGGCGCCGCTCTCTGAGCTGGCCTCTCGGATCGGGGAGCTCTTCTTCTTCACCGGCCTGCTGACGGGCTTGTTCTGCACTCCGCTCTGGGTCTGCTGGGCCTGCTGGCGGTGTTTGGCTCGTCTGTTTTTGAACCACACCTGGAAGGGAAATAGATTACAATTACCATCACTTCATTTACTACAAACACATCTTTACACGTGTTAAATTAAATTATCTGCAAACGGGAAAATCATTATCTAATTTTGAAAAATTCCTCCCTGGAGAGATGCAGTATTTGTGCGCGTCAACAGTGCGTAAACTTTGTTGTGCAAATATTAAGATGGAATAATTATTTAGTCAGTTTTAGGCTTGTGACTGAGCAATTCCCACAAAGGATTAATGAGTTAAAATCGTATTGTTTCAAATCTCCTTCAAATGGAGAGGACACTCTGGCCTGAAGTGGACAGTCTGACCTCTCAGAGACACAATGAACAAATATCGACCCCCCATAATAAACGGTTCGGTTACATAAGGTTTAGGTGATGGTGACCTACTTGCACTCTGGATTCAGGCAGGTTGATCTTTAAGGCCACCTCCTCTCTCATGAAGATGTCTGGGTACCGGGTCTTGCCGAACAGATTCTCCAGCACGTCGAGCTGGGCCCGGGTGAAGGTCGTCCTCTCCCGCCGCTGCTTGCGAGGGGTCCCTGGTAGTGAGAGGAGGAGAGGAGTGGTGAGGGCAGGAACCAAAATTACGCATCTTGACTTTACGCGTGGCACAATTCAATTCATATATACCAAATTGTAACTTGATTTCAGAAAATAGACAAATATACTAAATAAAATGCTGAAAATATTTGGTTTAAGACTGGAATAAAGGGAATGGGAGATAATGTGTGTGAGAAATAAATCAGTTATTTGCAGTTTTTGGTTCAAATATGTAAATAATTATTGTATAAATTACTGAAAATCTGTCTGAATGGTTTCCTCCTCGCGTAAATTACCTTGATATCCCACTGAAGGATGCAGCAGGTCCACTCCTGAGGTAGATAAGCTCAGTCCGTTCACCGTGTACGGCGGTTGCTTCAAATAGGACATCATTCTGGCGACCAGTCGAAGGAGTTTCGATGAAAAGAAATGAGAAAAACCGGGCAGAAATAGTGCCTTAATCCTCACTCGTCTCCGTTTTGTAAAATCAAGTCGTCCACATGAACCTGAAGCAAGAAAAAAAAGAAAAATGTATTTTTTTAAGAGTGTTTGGATCGCTCTGTGTCCGCCGATTTTTACGCGCAGCCTTTACGCACAGCGGTGGGTTTAAAGAAGTGGGCGTCCTCAGTGCGCAGGGCTCTTAAAGCGGAGTGGAGACCCCCAGCTGTCCCTGCTGGACTGAAGATGCTCTGTCTGGCTGACAGGCGTTTACGCCACCACCCCCCCACCACTCCACCACCACTAACTGCTACTACGGCCCCGCCCCGTATCACATCACCCCCCCCTCTCTCTCCACACACCCAAACACGCTCCGCTCCTCCTCTCCTGGTTTCACCAAAAACAAAACATTGTCGTTAAAATGCGCACACTCGCTGGGCCCCAACCGGGCCCTCAATTAGCATATACCCACAGGTTGGGGCGCAGCTAAATAGACAGCTGATTGGGGGGCCATTTGCAGAAACAAAGCGCAGTGTTGACCGATAAAGTAGCGCTGATAACAAAAGACTTAAGGGAACAAACAAAGAGGCAAAGAGCTGCAAACTGAGCGCTCTTTCAAACACATCTTCATTTATATATATCGGGCCTATTGTTGGTTTCCACTAAAACCCTTGTACATTCAAATGTAACGAAATTAAAATACGAAGGGGAGACTTATTATGGCCAAAAAAATTTGGAGACGTTTCCCCCCCAGAAGTGAAGCCCGATTCTGACCATATTATGGAGAGTCCTCGGGGTGGTTCCCCCTCCTTCCCTAATGAATTGCTCCCGGTAATTAGATTTGGAAGGTGAGACGATGGAGGAGTGTTGATTAGAGAGGAGCACTTAATCTGAACAAACACGGAGATGGCACAGGGTGTTTAGGAAAGAAAAGAAGTTGACAGTAAAAATGCGCATTTTAACCTGAATATTTTTTATTTAATTTGTTTTCTTATTTACGCTACAAATTGGTTTGGATTTCAAGTTAGAACACGTGGAATAAGAATCGGAGGATTGTATCATTTATTTATCGTGCTAGAATTTTTTATATATTTTTTAAAATAAATAAATACATTTTCAGTATAAAGTGATACAGAAAAGGAACAAATTGGTGCGTAAAAATCGCCAAAACGCAAAACTGATGCCCAAAATGTCCCCCAGTGTTCAAACGAAATCTACTAAAATACTGAGATAAATGCCTAAAACTGCCAAAAATAATACAATAAATATAGATTCATTATTTAGCTCCATAATATAAGGTTAAATCGGTCGGTATTAATTAATTTAAGTCTTAAAGTGTGTTATAAGCTGCTATCATGCATCATGTTTCTTTTCAGGGTTAAACCATTATTGGCCTTAATAACTCAGGATACTGAACACTTCCACTGTTTAATGCGCCTTAATATTTGCTAATTAACTTAACTAGAAGCGGCACCTACCTGTAGAATAGGAGCCAGGCTGCTGCTGCTGCTGCTGCTCTAACTCATATCATGGAGCCAATAACGGCCACTCCGGTGCTCAATCTGTCCTCCTCTTTTATTTGTTGCACCCCGGGGGCAACCGGTTGCTCCACATCAGTTCGATAATAAATGCTCCGAGTATTAATTATTATTGGCTACCAGGGTTTTTTTTTCCTTTTTTCTTTTTTCTTTCCTTCGTCTTTTCTTTCTTTCTGTAAGAAATTAACGAGATAATCCGGACGGCACGCGCTGGCCTGATTACAGGACGCCAGCCTCGACTCCGCATTCAGGCCTCCTTAATTTTCTGCGTCACGAAAATAAAACAAAGAGTGGCATTGTATTTATCAGACCAGCTGACTGCCAGACAAAAAGCCCCCCAAATCCTGCCCCCAGCCTCCCCCATCTTCCCCCTAATACCCCACCGACACTACAACTCACTTTCCCAAACGGACACATGAACCCCCATTATTATTATTATTATTATTATTATTATTATTATTATTATTATTATTATTATTATTATTATTATGGGTCATTTTTAGTTTTTTCTTTTGCATACTTACATGCCCACTTCCTATTTTAGTACACTCTTTGTGCCTTTAAAGCTTTTCCACTGACACATTTTTACATTTCGCTGCACTTTTTCTGCTCCTTTTGCGCTTTTGCTGCGATGCCAAACTGCATTTCTCATAATAAAGTTAAATATTATTTTTTTTTAAAGCAACAAATAAAATGGGACAAGTTGTAATTATTATAAAAATGAGAATAATCAACATTGAGCTTTATTTTCTAAAATAATTATCAATTATATTGTCGTTTAAAGACTTTATTCCTGTTAAAAATATCTAGACACACATGTTATCTTGTGTTTAAAATACATTAAGTGGAGCCTTTACTCTGATTTTTTATTTTATATTATTAATAATCATAATAATTTTGCACCTATATGACTTTATAATCATAAACGGCAGCTGTGTGGTGATCATGCTGCATTTGGTGGCTTCACTGTTCCTTTATGGAGCATTAGTGCCTCCAGAGTCTCTGAGGAAACATCCAGCGGTCCCAGTGTGTGAAGTGAAGTTGTGGATTGGTTCAGTGTGCTGCTATTCACCGGCTCACTGCTCCCTTTTTTTTTTTTTTCCTGCTCCGAGCCTGCAGAGAGCAGCGAGGGAGGAAAGTTTCCTCCCAAACACGCCTCCTCAATTATCTCCCTGCGGGCTTTCTGCGTTTTCACGGCTCCCGGAGGAATTAAAATAAATAAATAACATATATTTTTTTATTTTTTAAATCCCACTTAAATATAAAAACATGTATTAATGAGTCAGGCCACTTACTTTTGGTGCAGTGAGGGGCCTACGGAGCGCCTTTCATTAGTCTCCTCCCGGTTAACCTCGCTGGATGCGGTTAAATACTCTGAGATGCTCCGTATTTATGGTGACAGAAAAGAGTCTGTGTGTGAGATAACGATGGAGGGAGGGCGGGAGAGGACGTTTTAGCAGCCAATGGAAACGGGAGGAAATATGATGAGCAGAGGTGTGAAAGGATGCAGCTGGAGGGAGAGTTAGTGGCCTGATGGAGGCAACATCAGCACCACTCAGCAGCAGCAGCAGCTCAGGCTCGTGTCAGTCCTCTGACCGTAAACCAGCACGTTCATGCAGATCAGTCTGGTTCAAGTCGTGTGTGTTTTGTATTTGATGGGTAGATGGTTGTCCAGTGTTACTGTATTGGACATCAGTGCTGGTTTTATAACACTGACAGTAGTTTAGAGCCTCATCAGCTCACAGCCAGAGTTTAATTAAAACTCTACAGTGATTGAATAAGTGATTTTTAAAAAGTAGACGCACATAAAGATGTTTTTATGGTGTCAGAATCAGCTTCATTGCAAAGTACGTGTTCAAATATAAGGAGTTTAACTCTGTGTTTTAGTGCAAAACAGTAAAACATCAACAAAAAGAGAAAAATTAAAGCAGGATAGAAGAATTTTTTAAAAAGTTTGTGTTTTACACTGTAAAAAAAACAAACTTTTTTAACAGTTCATTGCTCTTATTTTACAGATTTTCCCCTGTTTTGTTAAGTTACGGATAATATCCAGTAAGATCATAGAAATAAATTAATAATTTACATGTTAACTGTAAAAAAAAAATAATGTCTGCGTCAAATTTTCTTATTTTTTAAAAAAAGTAATTTTCTCTTTGACAACATTTTACTGTAAAACTACACAAGCTTACTGTTGAAATAAAAATAATAATTTAACAGTATTTGCTGCTATTTGTAGGAAAAAAAGGTATTTTAAGGATTTAAAAATGTAGAAATAATGTGTTTTGTTAAATTACAGTTAATATATAGTAAAATGACAAGAACACTGTAAACAATATCCAGATAAAAAAAAAATATATAAAATGGTCATTTGTTTTTTTACAGTGTGTGGCGGTAAAATATCACAGGTTTTAATGTATGTAAATCCTCTGAAATCTCATTATTTTACAAATATTTGCATTTATTTTTTACAATTTTTACAGTTTTTGAATGTTACAGTATTTCACTCTTTTTTTAAATGAACTTTTTCGAATTTTTTTTAACAGATTTATTTTTTTACAGTGTGGGTCAAATATACAGGAAGCGTTCCAGATGTATCAGCAGCTGTTTGCACCATACTTGTCGTATCAACTACCTTCAATTAGTTATTTTAATAATCGATTAATCAATTTGAGAAAAAGTCAAAATTCTCTCATTTCAGCTTCTTAAATGTGTTTATTCTTTTTTTTTTTTTTTTTGCTCTTTTATTGCAACAAACTAAATATATTTGTGCAAAACAAGACATCTGAGGACCTCATCTTATCATCTCATCATTTTTGGCATCTTATCGACCAAACAGCTGATCGATCCATCAAGAAAATACATGTTGACAATCAGAATAATCACCGTAGTTCACCGGAGCCTGTTGGAAATCCGTTAGAAATGTGAAATAAAAATGCTCGTGTAGACAAGATGGAGTGAGTCAGGATTTAATTGTGAGAATGAAACGAGCTGAGCAAGCACATTTCACCGGAGCTCCGCTGTGTTTTGTAGCAGGAGGTGAAAATAACTTCTCGGGGATCCGTCACGCTTCGGTTCTGTGTAACCCTGTAGAGGAGATTTAAGGGAAGAACTGTGAAGCTCTGCACTCAGTCACTACCACACACACTAAAACAAAACAACAAAGCAGCAGCATAACTCCAACCTGAACCACCTGATCAGCTCTTCTCTGTTCCTGATTCTGCATCTTCTCTTCTGGATTATCAGCTCTGGTTTTTCATTTTTAATTTCATTGACTCCGCTTTGGCCTCGGCGGCCGTGAATGAAGCTCCTGATTGATGCTCCCAAACAAGCAGCAGGTTAGAGAACTAATTAGGAGTCTGAGTGCCAGATGAACAGACTGTGGAGCTGCTGGGCTGTTAGACGAGCCTGAAATCAATA